AGGTTTTCAATCTGTATACTGAAATCTCATGAAATTTTAAAAAATAATTTTGTTGAAGAGGCTCCGGAACTCCTTTGCAGCACATTCCCCCAGGAAAAAAAGCCCCGGATACGGCCTTCTCTTCCAAAACTGGAATATATTTAGGAGTTTGTAAGCCGCTCTGAGACTCCAAGTGAAGGGTGGGGTATAAATCCAATCTCTTCTCTTCTTCTTCTTCTTTATCCTGTGGTAAACACCAGTCTAAATAATTCTGTGGGGGACCCCCTGAGTAGCAGATATCCGCTACTGAGTTTAAGCAAAGTTCTCCCAGCCTGACTCGAAAGCATATATCTTTTGTATGCTAAATTGGCCCAAGTTCCACTCAGGTCAAGGGTTTCTTCTGAAAGCAGTGGGTGAGATCCTAGAAGGCCCACCACTGACGACTTTCTCAGTGTCTTGTATTAATTAAGTATTTTTTTTTGCATGGCTTTCCAACATGCATGATGCCTTTCTGTTCTTCCGGGTGCTCTCTCTTTAACCTGCACTTCTTAGCCTGGTCTCCGGCGTGCTTGGTTGCTCTGTAACAAGCCTTCTCTCCTAAGGTGACGTGACTAACAAAAGACAGTTATATGTCCAAACCAGAGTCGTGCATTGGCGGGACAATTTTCCGTCCTAACCGCTTTGAGGTAAAGAAGTTGTGGGAGTTGTGAATAGCCAAGAAGAGAAGGATCTGGAATGTGCTGTCCACGGCTGAGGCATGGGTGATCTGCCCGTTCTGATATGGAGAAATTAAATTTATCCCTTTAGGCCCAATTTACACTATGCAGAGGAGTGACCAGTGTTCCCGCTAAGCAGTGTGCGTGACCGGCCGCTCATTAACACAGGAAGCCCCGCTCAGCAGCAGTCTGGAGCCATGCAGGGTCTCGCACTGTGTATTGCCCGTTTTAAGTTTACAGCAGTTATATGGTGCTCAGGAGGTAAACTGCTCCACTCGGGAGAGGGGAGAAATAAAGGGAACGTTGGGGGTTATAATACCTGTAATTGTAGCTCCTTCTTCGGTGCCCTTGAGCTTGGAGTAAAAAATTCAAATTTCCATTTGTCAGTTCTTCTAGGTCACTCCAAAGATCCTTAACGTCACACAGCTGATGAGGAAAATAGCCACGATATTTCCCCTCTGACATAACCCCATGAAGTTGCCTTATACTGAATTAGACTCTTGTTCTGTCAGGGTCAGTATTATCTACTCGAAGTGCCAGTGACTCTCCAAGATCTTAGGCAGAGGTCTTTCCTGTCCCCTACTACCTGATCTTTTTAACTGGAGATGCCAGGGATTGAACCTGAGACCTGCCGCGTGCCAAGCTGATGCTGTACTACTGAACCACAGCCCCACCCCATTAGTGGACATGGATGAAGAAGAAGAACAGATTCGATTTATACCCTGCCCTCACTTGGAGTCTTGGAGTGGCTTACAATCCCTCCCCCTCCCCGCAACAAACACCCTGTGAGGTAGGTGGGGCTGAGAGAGGTCTTTGAGAACTGCCTTTGAGAGAACAGCTCTGAGAGAACTGTGACTGACCCAGGGTCATCCAGTAGCTGCATGTGGAGGAATGGGGACTCAAACCGGTTCTCCCAGATTAGAGTCCACGCTCTTAACCCCCATGCCAAACCGGATCTCCCCAGTTCAGAGGTTTTTAAAAAGTGATGTGGGGTTGAGTCACAGAGGGAAACAATCATGAGACCCCCGCAGTGTAAGAACCAGCCTTCACATTTGGTTTAGCCGTGACTGAACATATTGAGTGAATCTCTGGCTTACTGGACGAGCCTCCGATTTGCGTGCAGAAGGTCCCAGGTTCAATCCCTGGCATCTCCAGTTAGAAGGACTGGGCAGTGGACGACTTGAAAGACCTTCACCTGAGACCCTGGAGATAAGAACATAAGAACATAAGAGATGCCAATGTTGGTTCAGGCCAAAGGCCCATCTAGTTCAACACTCTGTATCACACAGTGGCCAGAAATACCAGGTGCCATCAGGAGGTCCACCAGTGGGGCCAGGACATTAGAAGCCCTCCCACTGTTGGCCCCCCCAAGCACCAAGAAGACAGAGCATCACTTGCATCACTTGCTGCCAGCCCGAGTTTACGATACTGACTTTGAGGGACCAGTGCTCTAATTCAGAAGGCAGCTTCCTATGTGCCAGGTCTGCCACTGCAAAGACCCGAACTGCTGGGAGTCGAACAGGGCCACCTGGGCAGCCATGAAACGGGATAGATCGCCTGTGGTTCTGCGAGGCCAGGGTCTCAGAGTTCTGCCTGAGGGCCCCTTCACCCAGTATGTTTCTAGGTGCACCCCTAGGTTTTCTGTATTCATCGAAAAATGGACAAAAGAATGATTAGGAACAGTTTTGGCTGCATCTTGGACGTGCACCCCCTGCTTAGCTTTTCCTAGTGGCCCTCGGGATGTAGAAGGGGGGAAAGAGGAATATTGACGAGAAGGAAGTGAAAGTACTGGGAACAGGGGGTATTGGGGATCTGCGGGGTCTTGTGGGAAGTGGGGCTATCTTGATGGGCTTCAAAAACATCTGGGCTGCCAGATGTACATGTAAGGTGACAACAGTTCACAGACTGTCCAGTTGGGCGTAGAAGGCTGAGGAGGGAGGCCTGTTTCTTGCATTTCTGATGACGTTGAGAACTGTTTACTTTAGGGTCGCCAGGTCCTTTTCTTCTTCTGGTGGGGGTGGGAGGGAGCTTCCTAGGAGTGGGGGGGCAGGGCACGTCACCACACGTGACGTCCTCGGTGTGATGATGTCACGCGGAAGTGATGTCATCACGTTGGGGACGTAGTGCCCGGCTGTGGCTGTTGGGAGTGGCCGGTGGCGGGCTGGAGCCCATGAAATTGAGGGATCCCCCACTCCCACCTGGGGGCTGGCAACCCTACTTTATCTTACAAATTGCACGTCTGCCTTAGGTTGGTGTCGAGATGGTGGCTTCCCCTCCGCTCTGGAATCTTGGGAGTTGTAGTTCAGATGGGCCGGAAGTTCCATCACTACATTTCTCAAATTTCTTAGGGATGGGGGGGGGGGGGGGGGGGAATCAAGAAAGCTAAACCAAGAAAGTTAAAGCCACCTTCCGCTTGTGATGCAAATGCAGTGTGGTGAGAAGACAAGTGTTTCCTCATTATTATTATTCTTTACCTTTCTCCTTCTCGCAACTGGTTCTCCCTAGCAGACCCACAAATGAAGCCTCGCCTGTTCTGGGCCTCCTTTTTTAAGAACTGTAAAACTGCCTGAATTGTTTAACCTCTTGTCTTTTATTTGTCTACTGCTCCTTTCTGGACAGAATCTTTTTTCCTTTCTGGTACTTTGCAAGAGGGGGGAAAGGCCTCCGATTTCCAGATTGCTTTCTCTGCCGCTGATGTACTGCCGGCTTTCCTTCACCTTCTGGCTAGGTAGTCTCTAGTTTCCTCTTCTTTTCCGGCACTCTTTGAAACGCCTCTCCTGAGCTCAGTCTCTGCTCCACTGCCTTTCACATTGCAACTGTGCTCACTCCGCCCAACTCGTTCGGGGATTTATGACCCTTTGGTTTGCCTCAACGTGGCTTTTAGAGAGAAGACGGGGGGATTGAGACCAGCCAAAATGGAGGCAGAGCTGTAAAACACGAAATGTCCAGTTTTAAAGTAAGCTGTGACCTCAGTGAGTATGGAAGAGGCGACAGGCACAAGAAGCCGAATGAAAAAAATCCAGAGATCCAGGCACCTCGCCTTCAGCTTTCTAGGCCCGAAGAGGCAAGAGCCAGTTTCCTAACCATGCGCTACAGCTGTCTGTGAATATCTGTGTTCAAGTCTTCCGAAGCTTGAATACTTGTGTGGTGTTTGCACTGGCCGTGTCTGTGCGTGTCCAATTTTCAGTCAGCTTTTGTGCTCACCGGATTCGTTAACGTCCTCTTTTTATTCCCCCCCCCCGCTTACTTTAGAGAATCCTCCTGAGGTGGTATGAAATTTAGACCCTGTACGATTCTGCGGTCATTCGGGAATATGCAGAAAGTCTCTTTTAATCAACGCAGAGTAACTTTATGCAGGAGTGAAAAAGAAAAGAACGCAAAGCGTAACGCAGTCCTTATGTTTCCTCTGTGTAAATTTGCCATGGGGTAAAATAAATTGGCCAGCTTACCCAGGCATGAGAAAAACCTGGGCTCGAACTGCCCCAGATCCTAAGACCCTAGAACTAATGTAAAACATGAAATGGACTACTGAACACCACAGGCCCCATTTCCGCATTCATCCTTGCCTTTAGAGGAATACAGGCAGCCGTTTACCGGATGCTAACTTAACCACAGTGTGTCTGCAGTTTCTAGATAAGCTGGTTATCTGACTGAGGAGAATTTTACCACACGTTTGACCAAAAACCCAGGAAGCTGGAGCATATGCTTGCAATGCGGTACATATCACTGTCTTAACCAAGTAGCAGCAACTTTATAAAACAGGCCCGCTAAAACAACTAGGCCACTAAAGAAATGACTAACCCACTTGCCCATAAATCCCAGCGTAACTTGTTTGTGGCCAAACATCAGCTTCGGGGGAAATACTTTCCTACCTGGCCTTCTGGGGGCCTTCCTTATCTGCCACAGGTGAGCAAGGCAGAAATTAAGATCTCCCCACCCCCCCTTCTTACCCTGGGCCCCTTAAAGAAAGTATAGAGAATTTGCTGCCATCATTGCATTCGCTGACTTGCCAACCCAGTCGGAGTTGCGTCTCTCCTAACTTATTTATGCAAGACACTCTGCACCAGAAAGTGTAAGGGCATTTGAGCATACATCCCCCAGAAAGAAACATGGCACAGATGGACCACATCCCCATTTGGGTGCACATCCTGCCAGCGAGCAAAATGCAGAACATACTTAGCTGGATCAGGGCACTGAGTTAATTGTCCTGTCCTGCTCCAACAATTCCCTGCACCACGTTGAGCTTGCTTACGACAACTGTGCTTGCTTTTCTTTTCTTTCCTATATCTATGCCTTTCTTCACAGCAGTCCTTGGCTCTGCACAGAATAATGTCCCTCTTCCAAGCTAATTGGATGTGCTTTCACCTTTGCATGTAAGTACAGCCGCAAAAGACCCCCTTCTACCCACCCGAGGAATGAATGGAGAGGGTTGTTTTGCAAGCGGGCTTGTTTTGCAGCAAGAGATGGTTTCCGCTCTGTAGCTATCCACCAGGGCAGTCGGCCGATTCTGAAGTTTCTGGGGCCTGATCCAGCAACAGTCAGTTGTGCATGTTAGTCAGGACTACCGCAATTTCAAAGAAACCGTATTGTTTCCAGGAGGACTTGAACACAACCAGCTTTGTCTGAATTGTGGTCACCCTTAACGCAGCACCTGTTAATTCCCCTCTTCTTGAAGCATGCTTGAAGTGGAGGGCTGGCACCCTGCTCGCAAGTGCCCTGATTTGAAAATAAGTGCAGTCTATTTCTCGGAGCTGCGGTGGCTCAAGTGGTTAAGACGCTGAACTGCAGGCTGTGGAAGGTCAGTAGTTCAGCAGTTCAAGGCCCGGGTGCCGCAAGACGGGGTGAGCTCCTGTCTCTAGTTCCAGTTCCTGCCAACCTAGCAGTTCGAAAGCAAGAAATTGCAAGTAGATAAAGAGGTACCACTTCGGTGGGAAGGTAACAGCGTTCCGGGCGCCTTGGTGTTTAGTCATGCCGGCCACACGACCACGGAATCGTCTTTGGACAGCGCTGGCTCTTCGGCTTTGAAACGGAGATGAGCACTGCAACCCTAGAGTCGGATTCGACTGGCTTTCGAGCAAGGGAACCTTTACCTTTACTTTACAGTCTATTTGAATCTGCAGCCTTATCTGGTGCATGTCCTACAAGTTCAAAAGGAGCTGCTTCCTAGCAAGATTAGGGTCCAGTTACACCTTAGAGACCACCAAGATTTTTGGGGTATCAGTTTTCGAGAATCCAAGCTCCCTTCGTCAGATGTGCTTTGAGTCTGGAAAGCTCATACCCCGAAAATATTGCTGGTCTCGAAAGTGCTACTGGACTAAAAAATCTAGCTGTTCTGCCACAAAGCAACACGGCTACTCTCTGAAACTTCCTAGCATACAGGATTTTAGCAGTCTGCAGTGCTACGTGTACTCAGTAGTAATCAGTATCACAAAAGAGTCTTTTTGGGGCCTGGGTCTATCTCATTGGATCCACTGGGCCGTGGTTCACAAAAGCTGCTGCCCACAGTTCTGAAACTGTGGGTTGGGACCCAAAGCGGGTTGGACCCTCTTGCAGGCCAGTCACAAGACAGGAAGGAAGGAAAGGATAGGGTAAGCTGAGAAAGGCGGCGTAGTAGCAACTGTGGGTTTTTCTCTGGCATCATGTGGGAAGCGGCTATGAAATACAGCCTCTTGCTTGATCATTCTTGCCCCGAGAGCACCAGTCAGGAGCAACTGGAAGCTTACTCACTAGATCTTGTGACCCACGTAAGTCCAGGATGCGTGAACTTCAGCTTAGCTTGGTGATGACAAAGATCGGTGGGTTTCTGTGATAGATGAATTCTAGGGACCAGCTGTACCACTAGGGGGCAGTGGAAAGAGAGAAGGTTAACACCAATCCTGGGGTGTATCCGCTTGCTTTGGACATAAGGCTGGTTTGTACCGTAACCTTAACCTTGCACAGAGACCATTTTAAACGCTTAGTGTATTGCCCTGTTAAAGGCCCAGCCCCGCCTTCTGGCTGCCGGGGCTACGTTCTCGCCCATGTTGTTAGCCACTGATCACTGGCATTTCTACTTTGTTTCAAAACGAGTCTTCCTGAACCACAGCCACACAGCTAAATGAATTTAAGCCAGTGTAGGTCAATGGAGTTTAATCCTAATTATTCCAATCTGGTGTGCACGTGGAAGTCCTCCTATATCAGGGCTGACTTATTTGCTTCAATGAACATAAGAGAAGTCCTGCTGGATCAGGCCAGGCCAACACTCTTGTGTCACACAGTGGCCAAAATCCAGGTGCCATCGGGAGGTCCATCAGCGGGGTCAGAAGTCCAGAAGCCCTCCCACTGTGCCCCCCCCCAAGCACCAAGAATACAGAGTGTCACTTGCCCCAGACAGAGTGTTCCACCTATAGCTCGTGGCTAATAGCCACTGATGGACCTCTGCCCCAGATGTTTCTCCAATCAATAGAGAGGGCACCTCTTTTTGTGTCCCTTTTTTGCATGTATGAAGTACACCCTTCATTGAACTTGATAGGGGAAGCCGTCCTGGACAGAGTTCCACATGCACACAGAAACTCCTAACGGAACTCTGAATCAAGTTTTTGTGTCTTTACTGGGCCTGAATTCTCTGAAGTCCAAAACGTTGGTCTTAATAGCTTCCGGGAGTCAGCTTGTCAATGTGATTCTGTTGCCATGGGATGGCAGCAGACACACACACCTTGTGTGCGTTCGTGACGTCGGTCCATCTGAGTTGTGTCTGTGACTTAGCGGTTCCTTGACATTCCTTCCCCACCCCTTTTCCTTTTGCTTTTATCTCCACGTTGAAAGAGGAGGGAAACCATAGTTACATTGACAGTTATATAATATCTGTTCCTCTCTAGTTGGTGTCTGACATGAAGGATTCTGTTTTGTCTCTTTCTCTTCCCCCCCCCCCCCCCCGCTCCTAATTAACTGAAAATAAAACTGTGAACAGCTTGTAGGAATACATTGTCTGTATACTTCTGTTTTGTGGGGCTGGGGTTTTTTTTAAGTGAATTTTGCTGAACTGCCTCACAGCCTTCTAGATATAGCTTTTTTTTAAATTTCCTTTCTGGTTTTGAAAGTATCCTGTGTTTCTTTTTTTTTACCAGAACGACTTTGTAATCGACTTAACAGTGTTAATATAGCATTATATACACTATGTATCTGTCCATTAGAGTTGTGTTACTTTTTTTTTGTTTTGCAATGTCAAAAGAAAATGGTGTCCATATTTTTTTTCTTTCAAAGTACATCAGCGGTGGGAGTCTTGTGCATTTGCCAGACTTGCGGGGGAATCTTTTTGTATATGTTCTTGAAGGTTTGCTTCTCAAGAGTCTGAACACACAAAAGTGGGAAGGAGAAAATACAGTTTTTTTAAAAAAAAAATCCCAAACATTGTTTTTGTGTATGATTTCCATTTTTTTTCATTTGTGATGGATGTTTCTGTGGTGTGGGAGGAAAGGGGGGGGGAATAATTGGAGGAGTCCAATGGGTTTTTTCCCTGCTGTTTCCTTTTCCCCTAAGTTCCTTGGCATCCACTGTGTCATCTGTTTGTTGGTTCTGTTACTTTCCAGGGTTACCCAGTGAGCATTGAAAGGCCCACCATCTATGAGAATGAATGTTCTGTCCTTCCACCCTGCCCTGGTCCAAACCTCTCTGTACTTTCATTCTTTGCATGTTCTGGCTCTGCTATAGTCGGGGCTGCCTCTGGTATTTCTGGCAGGTAGGATCCGGTATCTCTCCTGCGCCATGGAGGGGCTGTGGCTCAGCGCTAGAGGGCTTGGAGGTCCCAGGTTCAATCCCCAGCATCCCCAGTAAGGATCAGCTTGTAGGGTATATGAAAGACCCCTGCCAGAGACGCTGGACAGCAGCTGCCATTCTCAGTGGACAATAACTGAACTTAATGGACCAAGGATCTGATTCTGTATAAGGCAGCAGCTTCATCTGCGCAGGACCCAGCTTTCTGTTTAGAAACGTGTTTGATAGCAGGAGGCGGTGGCCGGAGTCTTACAAGATGAGGCCGGAGGTTGCCACGGGCAGGGAGAAGAATGATTTCTCACCCCTCCTCTGGGGAAAGGCAATAAGCTATGGAATAAAATATGCATGCAAAAAAAATAATAACATGCAAATGTGTTGTTTGCAAAATGTATTTAGGCGGGGGGGGGGGAGTCATTCGATACAGAATTTTGATCAGCAAAGGGTACCGAGGATGCTCAGCCCCGACTATACAGAACCGTCTTTCCACTTTTCCCTCACCGTTTAAGACACTTCTTGTTACCTTTTCTTTTCTGCTTCCTCCTCTTTCGGATGCTGAACCTTTTTTTTTTTCTTTTCTTGTCTTCCTTTTCCGTAGCTTCTTCTTTATGTAGCTGTCAGTCACCTGGGCAAGTTCCACCTCCCTCTCTCCTAGTGGCGCGTTAGAAGAGGCCGCAGATAACGCCACACGTACGCGCAACCCCACTGGGAGACAAGTTACCTCATTCTTCCGCCTTTCTGTCCTTTTTTTAAAACTGTGACTCACCACGGTGCGCGTGTCTCTTTTCCGGGTGTCTGTCCACGTGCCACCGCCGGCGTCTGCATTGACTTTTTGTAACTGCCCTAATCGTTAGAGACGGAGCGGCGGAGTCGGCTTCCGAGATTTGGCACTTGGGGGGGTCTGCCTTCTTTCCTTCTGATTCAGCAGGCAAATGCCACGCGACGTAAGAACAAGGAAAGTGTGGACTTCAAGTGCACACATGTGTGTATGTGTGTATATATATATGTGTGTGTGTGTGAGACAGAGAGATGGAGGGGGGGAGACAGACAGACAGAGAGAGGTATGTATGCAAGAACCAGAGGCTGATTTGTGCCAAGTGTTTACATCCCTACGCCGATTTAATCTAGCACTGAACCCAACTCTCTCCAAGAGATCCTGTAACCTGGTTACCCTGAAAGCCATATAAACTCAAAAGGATCCCCACCCCCTGTGATAATACTCCCTTAGCTGAGATCGCATCCTGACCTGGATAGCCGTGGGTAGCCCGATTCCATCGGGTCTCAGAAGCTAAGGCTAGTATTTGGACAGGAGACCACCGAGGGTCGTGAGAGGGATGCCAGGCGATGGCAAACCGCCACTGGACGTCTCTTGCCTTGAAAACCCTGCAGCGTCGCTATAAATCAGCTGTGACTCCATGGCACTTCCCACCACCCGTCGAGATTGGGGAAGGGAGAGGAGGAGGTCCACGAAGACATACCGAAACTTCGATCCATCCGTATCTCAAACCGTTATCTTCCTTTAAATCTGGTTTAATCAGCCTCCAGCTCTCTGGAAGCTGGAGTTCTGTACACGGCCTCTCTGTTGGACTCAGGAGACCTCCATGCCATTCCGCAACAGGACCTTTATTTATTTAAGGAGAATTTATTTTTGAAAAAAATCTTGCCTAACGACAGAAGCGACAGAGACTGATACAAAATAAGATCAGTGAATCACACAACCCAGTACCTAAAAAGCTCTAAAAAAAAAAGTAACCAGCAGCAACAGAATTTCAACTCTGCTCTCCTGAATGCCTGCTGGAATAAAACAATGCTAGGAGAATCTCTGAAGTCAATGAGGGTGAGGGTTGTTGGGGGTTTTTTTTTGGGGGGGGGTCCCAAAACTGTGGCCAAGAATCCCGTCCCAGATGCCCATTTGCTTCGTCACATGTCCCCAGCAGGAGAGCTCTGGTCACGGATAAGTTCTTACAGGTGGAACTTGCCACTAAAATTGGGTGAAAGTAAACCGGTATGAGACCTCCCTTGCTTAGTCAAGAAAGTGGCACCTTCCATCTTCTACATCGAAGACGGGGGGATAGAATTTTTAAGTTACTTTCACCCCCTTTCTAGACTACACTTGATGGAATTCACCCTGGCTCTTGGGACGAGTGTTTTTATCTAATTCATACATCACATTTTTCTTTTTAATTGGACACTTAAATTCTCTTCCAATGTGTAGAGTGGCTTAAGAGGAATCGTTTCCAGAGTTTCTCCTGGGACAAGGGCTGGCTCGGCAAGTTCAGCCAGACTATTTAGTAAATATTAAGCTGGATGGGAAATAAAGATGGGAAAGTTGTCTGGTGGTCATTTTGCTTAGCCCAGTTCTAGGGAGTGAGGGACTGTACCATGTATGTAATTTAGGGGTGGCAACTCCAGGTTGAGAAGTTCCTGGAGATTTGTGGGTGGAGTCTGGGGAGGGCGGGGTTTGGGGAAGTGGAGTATAATGCCACCCTCCAAAGCAGCCACTTTCTTCTGGGGAACTCACCTGTCATCTGGAGATCAGTTGTAATACCAGGTCTGCAGGCTCCACCTGGAGGCTGGCAACCCAGCATGTATTTGTTGTTCTAAAATACATGGGGATTTGGTTCATGGAGCCTCAGCATCCTTTGGATATTCCAGCCTGCTCTGAACCGAAAAAAAACTGAATGAGGACTTACCCATAGCCTGCTAGCTTGGAAGATCCTAACGTGCTCTGTCTGTTCCACGACTCAATGCTGAGCATAAAAGAAAACTCAGGCTGGAGCGGAGTGTAGAATCCAGCCGCTTGAGAAGTTCTACTGTCCCGTCGCCCCCTAAAACTGACGTTTCTAGTTCTTTTTGTTCCCAAGAACAGGCTTGAAGAAGGATATGTGCAATTGCTGACACCATCTTGGAAGAGAACGGAGGAATGAAGGTTTCCTCTGCCTCACCTTCTCCTCTTCCCCATGACCGGGAGAACTGGCAGAAATGAACTGTAATAAGTAACTGTGCATTTGAGTGTATAAGTTATACAGATGATGATTATTTTTTAAATTTCAGGGTGCAGAATCTGATCTATTGAAAGTTCACCCAACCTTGCCTAAGCCCCGTTGAATATTGGCTAATATGTTAGATTCCTTGATTCAAAAGATGTTTATGAATTAAAAAGGTGTCCTTGATTAATCAGGCGGCAGGCTGGTTTTCTTCCCCCCCTACACACAGGAAAACGAGTCATTCTTTCAAGAACTTGGAAAAACGGGGAAGCAGTCGCCATCCGAGCAGAAACATTCTCTCTTCCAGGGCCAGTTCCAGGTTTTGGTGGTCCTGGACAGCGGCTAGGGGCCTCCCTCCTGCCTTCCTTCCCACCCCCACACCTGCAGGCCACCCACTTACCTGTGCAACATGAGAGCATAAGAGAAGCCATGTTGGATCAGGCCAATGGCCCATCCAGTCCAACACTCTGTGTCAAACAGTGGCCAAAAACAGGGGCCATCAGGAGATCCACGAGCGGGGCCAGAACTCCAGAAGCCCTCCCACTGTTGCCCCCCAAGCACCAAGAAGACAGAGCATCACTGCCCCAAACATAAGAACATCAGAGAAGCCATGTTGGATCAGGCTAATGGCCCATCCAGTCCAACGATTTGTGTCACACAGTGGCCAAAACCCAGGTGCCATCAGGAGGTCCATCAGCAGGGCAGAACTCCAGAAGCCCTCCCACTGTGCCCCCCCCCAAGTACCAAGAATACAGAGCATCTCTTGCCCCAGACATTGTGTTCCATCTACACCTGGTGACTAATAGCCACACATGGACCTCTGCCCCATGTGTTTATCCAGTCCCCTCTAGACGCTGTCCATGCCTATAAGAATCCTTCTCCCACCTATGCTCAGTTGTCTGCACACCCGTTCCGCTGACAGCACTAGCCAGCGTATGCAGCTAGGAGAGTTGCTGCCATTGCCACTAGAGTGCCACCACTGTGCACCACCCACATGCCCCCCCCCAAAGACACTGGGGACTTGAAAGGATGGGTACAGACGGGGGGGGGGCAGAGGAGGTGTGTGGGTGGAGGTCAGTGGCCGTGGGCCCCTGGCAGTTGCCTCGACTCATGATATGCTGACACCGGCCCTGCTCTCTCATGCATCCAAGAGGGAATACCTTTGCTACATCTTATTATCATCATCGTCGTATGGCATTGTGTGTAGTATAGCGAGGAGATCCTAAGACTGGCAGCCTGAAGTTCCAGCTCTTTTAGTGTTATGCAACACTAGGTGGTGAGCTTAGACTTATGTCTTGAGCTGAGGGAGCTCTGAAAGAGCTGTGACTGACCCATGGTGACCCAGCTGGCTTCGTGTGGAGGAGGAGTGAGGAATCGAAACCAGTTCTCCAAATTGGAGTCCGTCGCTCTTAACCACTACACCACGCAGGCTCTCTCTTCTTCACCCGTGCCGCTACAACACAGGCAGTGCAATTAGCTACAGCCCCAAAGACCATGCCTCTGTTCCTCAGAACGCTTATCTAAATGCAAATATATACAGGCCCTAGTCATTTAATTGATTAAGCGATCGAGACACACACGAGTAATTGGCTAAGGCTTCTTTAATGAGGTGGCTGCCCTAATTAGTGGCAAAGAGACACAAAGTCTCAGCTAAATCTGTAAGTCCCCTGGATTTAATGGGGATTTAGAACACACTCCTGTGGTTTTTGTCCCTGGCAACACATGATGGAGCTGCAGCTTTGCCTTTCTGAAAAGGCCATCTATCTATATATATATAAAAGAAAGACCCCTCACCATGAAACCAATGCTGAGGCCAAACCCCTGGACCTATAAACACGAAATATGGGGAGAGCACTCCTACCATGACGTAGATGCTCACTAAGAAGGGATTTTTAGAAATTTGACCCCTAAGAGGGCCAAAAGGGGTAAAATGTGCTCCCCCCATTGTTTCCTATGTGGCTGCCAGGCTGCTGCCTCCTTGCACCCCCCACTCGCTGATTGGTCGGCTGCAGAGCTCAGTGTTCTGAGGTTAAAAAAAAACCAATTACAGGAGACTGCAGAGAGCTAATGACAGTTGAGGAAATCAGGAATGGCCAACAGCTACCTGTGAGGTGCAGCAATGCTGCTGGTCCAGCCTCTCCATAGCTTCAAACACGCTTCTCCCACCTCCTACACCTGACAGGCGGCTGTCTGTTAGGTGCAGCGGTGGGTGCAGGATGCTTAAAGCCATCAGGGAGTCCACCCCAGCAGTAACACAGTGATCCTGCCGGCTCAGCCTCCACAATGCAATACCCCGCCCCCTCCTACACTGGACAGGCAGCTGCCTGGCAGGTGTAGGAGAGAGGGTGGGATGCTTACAGCCATCGGGAAGGCTTGCTCAGCATGATTGCCTTAGTGCTGCTGCTGGCACAGCCTCCCATTGGGGCACCTTGAACACCCTTCCCCCAACACCAGACAGGCAGGTGTCTGTCAGGTGTAGGAGCAGGGCCAGGGTACTTTAATCCATCAGGGAGGCCGCCCCAGCAGGATCACCTTAGCGATGCTGCTGGCCCAGCTTAGCCACGCCCCTACCCACTATGGAAATATACCCCAATTTGTAGAAAAGTGGTTTCCTGTATTAGGTTATTTAACATCTCACAATGTGGGTTCTAGAAAATTGGTTCATATGAACTTGCTCAATATCTGATTGCTCGGATGTCGTTTTGAATACGTAGTTATGTCCCACTTCTTAAATGTAACATAAATGAGAAGCATTTTTGTAAAAAAAAGTATGCCCTGCACCACCACCACCACCCAAATCCAATGCCCCAGGCCAAACACTTGCACCAAGAAACCCAAAATAAGGGGAGTGCATTCCTACCACGATGTCGACCCCCACTACGAAGAAAACCCCTTCGAGTTCAAGAGGCTGCAGTCCCTCCTCAAGATCTGCTTTACTGTGACCATCAAGTCCCAAGGCCAGTTACTGACGGTGGCAGGAATTGACTTAACAGATGACTGCTTCTCCCATGGACCGTTCTATGTGGCCTGCTCCAAAGTGAGCTCACCAAGCAGCCTGGTGATCCTAGCACCTGAGGGCAGAACCACCACTGTGGTCTACCGAGAGGTCCTTTGGTGTGTGTGGGGGGGGACAGTACGTGTGTCTCATTTCATTTTTTACATTGCAGTATTCTCCATTAGAATCCCTACAACAAATGTTACATTTCAGACTTCACATCATCAGTATTATAACTGGATTTATGGGACTTAAATACCGTAGTGAAGCACGGGTATCAGGCTAGTCCATTAGAAAACTGCCCCAGGCTGTATTGTAGTGAAAGGGGAGGGTCGAAATTTAAAAATAAGGCGAG